TTCCACTACAGTGAACCTAAAAGAATTTCAAAGGGCATAAACAAAATATAAGAAAATAAATTTTTTAATAATTTATACCTTAGCCTAATCAATATTTTATTAGGAACATATTTTAATTAGTACAGAGAAGGAAAATGCCATTTCAGAATATCTGTCAGTATATTTTCTCTTATTGTTCTTTTTAGATTCTTGTCATGAATCAAAGTGAAAATGAAGAGCACCATTGTGAAATAACATTGAGTAGCTACTCACAGTTCTAAAATCATGAATACACATTCCCTTCTGTACTGATTATTTTATCAGCTCTATTCTGCTAATTGCAGCATCTGAGTTATTCACATTGCTACAGATGGACAAAAGTTACTTGGAGAAACTATTTCAAGAAAATTTTTTATTCAGAACTATAAACCTCAGAGGAACTGCTCACTATCCTTTTTATCTTCTCTCCATCTCATTAATCTGAAGTAAATTCCTGCAGTATCAGGATAGGAACTAAACTTCAAAAGATCAAAATCTGTAATGTGTTCTCAAAGAACACATTAAGTCAATTAAAATTACCTGGGGTTTTTTTAAGGGAAAAAAGGATCATGCTCACCCATTTATTTCCAATATAACCATGCTATGCCTGTAAATGAGCCACTGTTCATGGCACACAGTGTCCATTTTGTATTGATTATCTATTAAATAATTACATTTGTAAGTAAGTAAAAGTGGCTTATTTTGTGCAACAGGACTTAATATGCATTTCAAAAAATGTCACAGTGATTCAGTTTTTGCAATGCTATAAAAGCAGCATATAAAATGATAAACATTAATGTATTGTATTAGAAGCAGCTAATCCAAAGCAATAAATTAGTTTTCCCTCTTGGCAGGCAACAACCATGGAAATGAATATTGCTGATTAATGTCCTGTATCTTCCCAGCACTTCCCACCTTGTGGCCTTCTGCTGTCCACTGAAACCTTCCACACTTACTCTCCTGTACATTACACATTATTAGAAGCTTCTAATCAAGCCAGATGAGAGACAATTACTATTTACCTAGGAGGAAAAAAGCAAAATCTCTGTTTGAGATATTGTAAAAGGATGATTCCAAGATGAAGAACTACTTTAAATAGTTAAAAACATGTAGAGCACTTCCTGCTCCTATGTATACCAACACATATATAAAATAATTTCAGTTATGCTGTGAGAAAATATCACAAAGAACATGAAGAACAAAAGCCAGCTAAATGTGGGCTGTGATATCAAAGTACAGGTGCTGAAAATATACACTTTCAGACATATAGCAACTTTCAAAAGAAAAACAGGAACATCCAAGTTACTGTCCATAAACTTCCGCATAGATCTCCTTCTTCCAAAAGGTTTAATTTTATCAATTTTCCTGTTGAAACAGATCCTACCATTTCAAACTAATTCGTTTATTTGGCAAATCTATTTTTATTTATAATCCTACTTTCCAGGATGGTTTTAAGCCTTCCCAATCTTGCCATTATTTGGATGCATAACACATCCATCCTTTAGGACACTGATGAAAGCCTCAAGCACAGGACAGATCCATACCAGATCCTGCTGGAAACCTTTCCAATTTCACCATGAATCACTGATAATCACCCTTTGACACAGGCTTCCAATCAAACACTTCTCCATGTAGTAGCAATTTACTGTCATATGCTTCCCACCAACTCACTAAAGGAAAGCTTTTGAGACAAAGTTTTCTTAACATCGATATGTTGTTACTGTTTTTCCATTATGCATAAGATGTGTTTTCCTGTCATCCAAGAAAAATCAGATGTCTTTGACATCATTTTTGATAAATCCATATTGGGTGCTAGCTTAAGTTCCAATTTTCCCATCTCTATATTTAGAAATAGCTGATGATTTTTAAAAGTACAGCTTCAAAATAATTCTTTGGGTTTTGCAATACTTTTTCAGAAACCACTATAAAAATATGAAGCATTTTACTCATTCTCTCATTTCACTTCTTTTTTGGCAGGCAGACTTGTCCTTCTCCAGTCTCCTGGAAGGAGCTCACAAACTTTGTTCAGAGACCCAGGAATCCAGGCAGGGTCACTTCCATCAAGGACAGCCAAGGTGAAAACACTTTTTACTGTTCCAGTGTGAAATAACTCCTTTTTTAAGCAAGTTTTATAAACCAGTAAACCTGGACACCAGGACAGACTGACCACTTTAGGAGAGATGTGATAGAGCACATCACCTTTTTTGTTCTTTAAAATTACAGCTTTTTGATGATTCTAATTTAAATTAGTTTGAAAGAACCGATAGCCTCCTGAATGAGAGTGACAAGCAAGCTGACACAGCCAGCTTGGGCTTCCAAAGCCACTCCTTGAGAAAGGCTCCTCTCCAAATGCTTACAAGAAAAGTAAGCAGCAATTACATAAGAGCATGGGTACTTTTATACACAAATATTTGATTACAAGAGAGGAAAGAGCAGAAACACCTGGTTGACTCCTAAAACCAACAGAAGACCCCTGGAGTTTTGCTGGGACCTGTGGCTGTGCTTTGTGCTGACTGACACTTCCTGAGCAGCCCAAAGAACAGGGTGATCAGTAAGATAACTGATTTTCCTCATGGTGTTTGGTTATTCAGGGCAGTAAAGACAAAATCCAAATGCAAAGAAGAATTTTATAAGACTAAGCAAATAGTCAGAGGCTGGCAGATGAAATTCAAGGAGATAAAAGTGGCACACAAGTTAAAATAATCCTACCTTTAAGCCTAACAAGCTGGGATCTGAACTGGTTAGAATGAATGGTGAGGTATTTTTTAGCTATGATAAATATTTCCATTAAGATACTAGCCTAGTACTCAGTAGCAGCAAAAATAAAGGCATCCAAAACTGGAAAGAACAAACTAATTGCTGGGAATTTCTGTGAGAGAAATACAGAATAAAAGGGCAAACACTACAGCATCAATACCACTCATTTTACACCTTATCAAAAAGATAAGATGTTTTGGTCCCCCTTGCCTGAAAAAAAAAGTCCCCAACATTTAACAGGTCCACAAAACATCACGTTACTGTTTCACAAGGAATTATCACACATGGTAAGATGCTGCTGTCTGGAAAAGAGCTGAGGGAGGGATGTGATGACGGCACTGTAAAGTCCTAAGTGGCACTGAGACTGGCGCCAGACATCAATTCTTTATTGCTTCTTTCACTACAAGGAGCAGGAAATCCTTGCAAAAGCAGCCAAAGTCTGGTGCAAAACCAAATGCAAACAGTGGTTCCTCACAGGTATGTTAGGCTGTAAGAGCCTGTGGACACTGGCATTTTAAACAGGTCCAAAAGAAACTGGCTGAATTTAAAGTTCACTGAGTTATGAAGCACAAAGAAACAGCAGCTGGATCACAAGGAGCACCCTCTGGGGATACCACTGTGTCCTTGGCCTCTCCTGTGAATGTTTGGACACTCGGCAATGGAACAGAGCTACCCAATCTCTGTGCATTATGGAGGGAGGACTCATGTTAAATATACACATAGAGCAAAATACATTGCTTTTGTCAGGCTTGCTGTTACAAGAAATTAAAAGAATTTGTCAAAAAGCTACAACATGAACTCCTGAGTTAGTAGTTTACTTTCCCTCAAGATAAGCAATTATTTTATTATCTATTAAATAGATTTTAGGGGGAAAAACCAAAACAGAATTGTCACTGGTGTGTGACAAAGTCTCTAAACACCAGATTCAAATTCCAAAAGCCAATATAAGATATTAATGTGACATTTCCATAAGAAACACAGAGTCTATTAGGAGAATTCTCCCTTTAAGGTGATACCAACTACCACCATTAAAGTATCTAACCAACAGAGTTTTTCAAAAACAGAACCTCCACCATGCATTATTTTGTTAATATTGGATCTAGCAGCATCCTAGTGCATCCGCTATAAATAATCAGCAACTACTATTGTCAGTCTGGATACAAAAAGTTATACAAGCAGTCATAAATTAATTCACTGCACTGAATTCCTGATGACAACCCAGCCAGTTTCCCACTGAAGTAACTGGTAACAGACTTGCCAGCTCTGTAGATATTTAGGTTCATGACATGCCTAAAGGTGGAAAGTTTGCTGAGAAGCTCTAATTGATCACTAACTTGGAAGTAAATTAAAAATCTCAGTTGTTGCTGCCTGCCAGCAAAGAAGTTTAGATTTGGAATCTGGAAGTGAGAGAAACACAGGACTGTGTTTTTGTCTGGAGAAAGTTAACAGATGGTCTAAAAAGGAGCAGCTTTAAAATAAGACCAGAAGCCAAAAAGTGTGTGGAGAAAGCAAGGATAATTTTTTTTTTATCTATTCTGTGCTGCTGTTTTGTATGCTTTGTATATGTAGCTGTATATTTGATATAGCAAAGACTCAAATTTTGACTTCACAGATTTATCCATCCAGACTAAAATATTTGAATCTTTCTATAACTTCAGGAAAATAATGTTACAATGTGAATAGAAGTATTTGAAACACAAATTTACAAGATACTCATTTACTACAATGCAGGTCTCTGAAATGTTACTGAAAACTTCACTTCATTCTGTAATGCAGAACTACAGAAAGCTGAATATGAGGATTTATCTTCTTTTAACTTTAAAACTGTTAACTCCCTGCACAGCTTAAACAAAATATGCCTCTGGATATTTATTTACACTTTTTCAAAAAGGGCTCATTTACCTCTTCAGAAAATGTTGCCAAGACAACATTTAGACAGTTGCAAAAAAAAACCTAGAGAAAGCTTCAAACATAAAAGAAAGGGTAACAACAATTGTTTTATCCATCTAAAATGTGAAGGGATGCTGCATGAAGGAAATTATAATCTGCATTTGGATTCTTATTAGTGTGCTTTCCTGCAGTTTAGCAGTGAGAAGCAGGTATTCCAAGACATAAAATTATTGTGGAAAATATCAAACTTGTGCCAGCACTGAATACAGTACCAAAAGCAAAACATCAAGTGCTTGGTTGTAAATCAACACAAAGAAACCTTCATAATTACTTACCTGATTTTCTTCATGGGAAACTCTCATCTGTTCTTTAAGAACTGACATTCTGGCTGCTTCTTCTTTCCTCAATACTCTCTCTTTCTTTAGCTCAGGACTCCAGAAAGTTTTGATGCTGTTCATAGAGGACCCCAGCTTGCTGTCCTTAATGTCGAGTTCTTTTCTGAGAAGGTCATTCTCCCTCTGTAGATCCTTCAGCTGAGCCTGCAGATCTAACATGGTGCTATCCCTAACCTGTCTCAGCATGGAAGGAACCTGGTGGTGGTGGTGGTGTGAGGATGCGGTCAGCCCTCCGTGCTGGTCGGCGTAAGAAAGGACATCCGTGTGTGACAGTCCAGCAGAAGCGATGTTGGGGCTGCTCCCCATGGCTGTGACTCGGCCACCATACACAGCTCGATTTGTAGCCCTTCCGAGAGTCATTGTGCCCTTTGGGAAAGTAGTAGAAGCTACACCCTCGTGGTCACTCAGGTACATTGGTCCAGATGTTGCATAGGCTGCGTTAAGGGACTGGATGTTCTCCATGGACAGCGTCTTCCCTGCCCCCCCTCCCCCGCTGCTGGTTCTCCTGTGGCCCAGCCGGGGGGACCTCGGCAGGCGGGGGGACCTGGAGGGACTCCCTTCCAAGTTGCCGATTGTTCTTGCACTCCCATACATTTTTCTTCTACTTTGAGGTACTATTTAGTAAGAAACAAGTAACACTAAAGTTGAATGTTCAATTAAGAATTCCGGCTAGAAATACTGGCAGTTTCACTGCATTCTTCCAGTAGGCAAAATCTGGTTTTCCTCCCAAGACAGACCTGAAAAAAAAATTATAAAATTAAGTTTTCATTTTGGAAAATAAATTTACAAGTAATCACTATATAGCAGAAAAACCAACTTCCCAGAGTTATAACTACAAAAATAAAATCTGCTATACATTTTATATTTAGGATGATTAGTTAAAAATGCCTTTTCAAATTAATTTCAATCAAAATAAAACTCCTCATTTCTTTCTTGCTAGAAAACTCTGAGCTAAAGCTTGTTAAACTAAGTTGAAATGAACAACATGGGCCCAATACAATAACATAGCATACCTTGTCATTTAAATGACTGACAATATGAAATTCATATAAATAAAAATATTTATTATTGGCATAAAGAACTACCCTCTTAAAGCCTCCAGAATTCATTCCCAAGGCACAGAGATATAAAGCAATCTTGTTGATTTACTTTTTCAAGTTTTGGCGTTTTAACATCACTGTCCACATCTGCCCCTCTTTTCAGCTGTCATGCAGCATTCAAAAGATGACCCACAGCTTGTTTCCCCACAAGACCCTGCGCAGCTTTTCTGCTGTCTCAACTTCAACATATTGACCAATTAAAGAAACAAAATCTCCTCTAATTCTCAAGTGCCAGCCATCCTCTGGCCAAGCAACTCATCAATCCTCTGAGAAATCCATCCCTGTATCTTTCTCGTTGCCTAAAACAGTTCCACAGCTCCTTCACAGACAAATCTCTCATGAGACCAGAGCTGAAGATCACTTAACTTCCACTGGCTCCTGGCAGATCCTGAGCAAGAGCAACAACAAATCTTCGGAATTGACAGAATTCACCCCACCCTCTTGCTCACTCAATAAAAAAAACACAAACAAAACAAAACAAACACTCCATAAAAAACATTACACTCTGGTGTGGTGAAAAAGCAATGCTGCTAGCAGAAAATGCCAGTATCAATTTAAATTGCACACAATAAAATATTTTTAGATACAGCAGATATGATACACAGCCAGGTGGTGGGGTTGGATATAAATTTGTTCATCCTCAGAAGCAGAGGTACAGAATATTTTATCTTATATCACATCCATGCTGTTTTTCCTTTTCAGTTTGATAAATCAGTACATTTCTTGCTCAGAGTCAGTTAATAAGTTACTTAGCCTTCTGTTTATGTCTCTGATATGTATTTTTAGGTATTTGTTTTGCCTTTTAGAGCTTCTAACTTGTGGTCTCTCTTTTCTCAACTCGTGTAAATTTTTGGAAGTTCTCATCTCATATCAGAGAACACTTATCTTCTTTAGCACTCCAGTGCTTACCAGTGAGCTCTACTGAAAAAAGGATCCTCATTCCCTATCCAAAGGCAGGCTAATGTCTCCCTGAACTTCTTAAACAATGTTCCAATGCTAATTGAACTTTGTAACTTCCATAAGCTTGGGAAAATTCTGCAAGCAACAGGAAAAGAGAAGCAAAACACCACCAACCAGTGTTATTACCTCCACAGCATTTTCAATTTCTTTTTTTTCCCCTAGAAGTATTCTAATCAAAACAGAGACCTCTGTGCTGTGAACACAAACACACTGATGATACGCTTGATTTTCTGACTTTAACAGGCTACTAAGGACAGCTCACAGACCAAAATCTGAAAACCCTGACTTTGCAAATGAAAATGGAGAAAGCCTAAGAATTCTTGTAGTTTGTTACCTTCTACAACCTGAATTATGCAGACTAGCTTTCCTGCAACCTCAGAAAAAGACAAGCACACAAAAACATGCTTTTTCAATGTGTGTACTTCTTAAAGATAAAACTGAAGCCTTCCTTTATGGCTGGGAAGTCTCAGACACAGTAGAAGCCAGACACCACTGCTTTATGAAAGAGGGGAGAAAAGGCACCTACATCATTTTCTCCTCTTTACTGCTTCTACACGGAGCCTTCCTAGCTTCAGGAAGATTTACTGTGTGTCTCAACACATCAGGAACTGGAGGCATGAAGAAGCAATACCAGCCTCAGGACCTCAACAATTTCCACACAGATCATCATCTACCATCTGGAGAAAAAGAGAGAGGAGAGATCCCATCTTCCCACAGAACCAGCTGACAGAGCCATCCCAGCTGAACTGAGAGTGGACAGGTGAGATATAGACAGCTCTATTTTGAAAGGTAAATTTATTTTATATTGCTATTTTAATTGGACAAGGAGGAAGGAATACTAATACCCTCAAGTAATAATTCTTTAACAAAGCTGTAGGTGTTGCAGTAGCCAGGACAAAGGAGTCTCAAAGGTCATATCCCCCTAAAGCCTCCTCTGAGAAAAAGTCACCCAGCTTCACTCAGTCTGGTAGGGACAGACTGCAGACCCACTACACACATTTTCCTACAAGAGTTGAGTTTTAAAATCCAAATCAGATTACTACCAGAAAAAATCCAGATGCTCACCTGCTTGGCTCAGTATTTTCTTATTTTAAAGAAATTCGTTTGATGTACATGATGTAAAATTAACCATTATAATTATGAGTTTATTATTCTGCATTGCAAACAAAACTGTATTTTATATGGATCCTTTTAGGATCCAGAAAATTAAGCATGCATTCTCAGCTGGGGGCAGGAGGGCAGGCACTAGACACTGCCCCATGTTCTCACCAGCCTTGAAAACCCCAGCAGAACTGATACCATTCATGCCAAAGTGCCCCCAACACCTGTTTGAACTTCAGCTTGCCTCCTTGCCCACATTCCTGCCCCACCTGATCTCCTGCATTCTGCACACAGCAACATCACAGGCTCACGTTACCCACCTGGCTCAAGTCTGACAACTCACTTTAATTGTCTTTTAGCTTCCTATTTTTTGAGAAACCTGGAGGATAGGATTCTGATGTGGATGCTACTAGAAGATCTCACTCAATTTAGTTTCCAAATCCTTACTTCTACATTTAACATAACTACAGAGTTTGCTTGAAATACTGTATCCACAGTACCCCATAAGCTCTGATTTTCACTGGTTACACACTCTTACATGCTGAGAGATGATTTAGGCTTTTAGTGTCCCCTCCTGAGGCCTGAATCACCTAGTCAGCAGGAAGTTTGGGTATCAGCCAAATACTTAATAGCTTTGCACAACTACTTGCCAATGTTAACACTGAGCCAAGAGCTCAAACATTTGTAAAAGTACCAAAACCTTTAAGGAAACCTCTTCTGTAGACTTAATGTCCCCAAACAATATATGGTGACAGTTAAATGCAGAAATTATCAATCTGATTCCAAACTGTCTAAAACTGTTTAGTACAATACAATTCCCCACATATAAACCAAAACAAGCAAAATAGGAAAGAAAAAAAAATAAAAAAGGTGATGAAGAACACAATGCTCATATTTTCTCTGCCAGGACTGCACTTTGAGGCACCACAAAAGGAAAGAGATTGACAGAAAAAAATCTGTTCCATAAAAACATGTCCTAGCAAACAATGATTTCTTTATTTTGATAACGTCTTTTAAATACTCTCATTTGAAACACAACCTCTCCGTACACAGAAGACCAGGAGCACATGTGTATTAGAAGTAGTGACTAGGAGCCAGAAATATTTCTAGCACTTTCTTTTGGTTACCTATGTTTTCTACTGCTTTCATAGTCACACAATACATTCTCACAGCAGAGAATATTCTTTTCTTCACACGTTCTTTACTATCAGTGCTGATGTAAAGGGAAAAAAAATGCAGCAAGCTGATATAAACTAGATACAAAAAACTCCAATCTGTTGTAGAGGAGCCTGCCTTTCTTCATTAATCTGAGTGGGCAGCCTGGCATGTTTTCTTTTAATAAGGTAAAGGAAAAAAAGATAAATACAATGCTCTTTATATGGTGTTAGTACAAGACCAGCATTGTTTCTATTAAAAGGACAAAGTACTCTCTTTTCCTGCTTACCAGGCTGACCAAGTAGCTTCTTCTCCCCCACCTTTTTTAATACAAAAAAGAAAATAATCCACTTCTTCCTGCTACTCTACTATTCCTTACAAGTTTGAAAAACAGAGCATATATGACAACTTCAAAAGCAACATTTTCATTTAAGTTCCTTACAGTGTCCTGAATCTGCATTTCTTATGTAAATTTAAGTTTTACTACAGTCTGCACACTACATTTCTTTTTATTAGTTAACAGACATTAATTTCTGCCCTCCCTTGTAGCTTGTTGTAAAATTACACATATGTATCTGTAAATAAAGTCAGTTCCAAAGCCTGTTTTAATCTTGTGAGCTGCTCATGTCCCTGAACTCCCATCAGTGCTACATGGAAGAACTGGCATTTATCACCTCCCAGGACCAGGGCACATCAGGCCTTTCCCTCTCACACAGAAGAAAATAAGAAGGCAAAAGCAGGAGTGGCTGCTTAATATGGCTCTAATGACATATATGGAAAATAAAGTTGTCAGGCATTCTAAAGCTGTCAGGTGCAGTGACAGCAATGAATACTTGTCATGCAATCAGAGAACTGCACCAATTGAAATATTTGCTCAAAAATGCCACATAAAAAATCTTGAAAAGCAAGCAGCTCTGACACCATTATCAGGACTGTCAATTATATTACTCTCAAATATACTTAAGTGAAGGGTCAACAATTAATTTTTAACTCTTTTATACAAGTTTCATGGGTTTAAAACAAGCCTAGTGTTTAAGAAAGGTGCACTTCTTTCCAAGCATTTTACTCTTTATTATAATGTTTGAGACATTGTAATTGTTTTAAAACATAATAGTTAGAAGTAGGCATTAAATAATATAAATAATATCTAAACTCCACCAGTTGACACCTCCATTATTTTATAACTTTTCTCTGTTGCTCAAACTCCAATTCTTAATGTTTTATCTCTAACACTTCCATTAAAACAATTATTTCCTACAGTCTTGCATGTGACAAGCATCCTGGGGTTTCTAAGACACCTAAGGAAGGTGAGAAATTTCAAATTATTTTCATTTTATTTTTCTGATGTTTTGTAAAATACTAAAGACCTGAAAATGGAACATGAAAAAAAAGGCTTCTACAGCCAAGCAAAGGCAGAAGCA